CGGCGTCAATCCATCATTTCTGACAGGTCTGTGGGGGTGTTCTTGAGAATCCGACGCGGCGAAGAACAGCAGCTCTTCAATCGCCCAAGCATAAATCAGACCACTTTTGTCTCTCAGATAATAACTTCCTTTTTTTTCCTCTCTTTTTTTTTTACTTATCACGTTCATTATCAGAAAGGTCATTGCATTTATTCGGCGAGCGAGAGGGTGGTTCCTGTAAGCGGAAGTTGGACCTTCTAATATTTTCTCTTTGTCACTTTTGGTCAAAAAAAAGAAAACAGAAAAAAGAAGGAAAAAAGTAGATCGTGCCTAACAAGCTCATTTCTTTTCCCTTTCCCCTTCGCCACTTTTGGGCATGTCAAGTTTGCTGCATAGGGCCGGCATAATAAGGCTGAGTACTTTTTCTGTATGTGGAGCAAGTGTCCATTTTCTCTCGCATGGAGGTGAGAGGTTGGCACGTGTTTCCCCCTTCTCTGTTGTGGCACTTTCACCTTATGAAAACAGTGCTATGCAGTGATAATGGTCTTTGTACAATAGCAAATCCTCAGTTTTCAAAATAAGGGAAATTGACACAATGATATTCGAGAAAACGCTTTCACCTTATGAAAACAGTGCTATGCAGTGATAATGGTCTTTGTACAATAGCAAATCCTCAGTTTTCAAAATAAGGGAAATTGACACTTAATGATATTTGAGAAGCATATTCCATTTTTTTTTTGTTACCGTGTCTGGCGCTGAATAATTCATATTGTAATACAGCTATCATTTCTAGCGCAGCGGAGAACAAACATGAATTTTAACGATAGAGGTTCATATGTAGTAAATTGCAGACTGGTGCGGTAACAAGCTTGTTGCACCTTTGTCATATGTCAAAAAAAAAAAAAAAAAAATGGAAAGTAGTTTATAAGACATATATTATAGATTTTCTTCGTCAAAGAAAAGAAGAAAAAGAGAGGTAGTTTAAGACTTGCATTATAGATTTTGTCGTCAAACAAAAAAAAAAAAAGAAAAAAAAGAAAAAAAAATCACAGGTAGTTTCATAGACTTATTTTGTAGATCTTGTTTAGATCATTTATGTTTTCTCTTTCATATTTGCTCAATCCGATGGGGATCGAATTATTTTGTTTATTGTGGTCTTCTGCCTTTGTGAAAAAAAATAAAAGCTGGTAGAAATCCACAAACAACACTTGTATCCTCACACACGCGCACACATATATATACAATAGTATATACACATAAATGAATATGTATATATATGTATATGTATGAATGAATATATATGTATTTATATGCATATTAATATTAATTTATAATATATAAATAAATTAATATAGTAATAATATAATAATATATATATATATATATTATATATATATATATATATATATATATATATATATATATATATATATATATATATATATATATATATATAATATATATGGTGTATATGTACATACACATATATAATATATATGTATACATATATATAGTATAGGTATTCTATCTCCTCTCTCTCTCTCTCTCTATATATATCTATATGTCTGTCTGTGTCCATCCACCCCCACCCACTCACGCCGCCCTTGACCCGGAAGTCTCCCAAACTCAGCGGGTGACGAAAGCCTTCCCGACGTGCCTGTGATGGCCTCTGCGCTCGCTCGCCAAGTTTGAGATGAATCTTATCAGGCGGCTGTCAATGCTCCGGGATTGGGCCGCGAGGAACATTTGGTCGCGGGCTCGTGGGCTTCTCAAGGAATGTGTCTCTCTTTCTCTTTTTTTTATTCTTTTTTTTTGTTGTTTTTTCTTCTTCCTTCCTTTTTTCGTTTTTTTTTTATTTTCCTTTTTTTTTTCGTTTCTTATTTTTCTTTTTCCTTCATTTTTTCGTTTATTATTTTTCAAATTCCTTCTTTTTTTCGTTTCTTATTTTTCTTCTTCCTTCCTTTTTCGTTTTTCATTTTTCTTCCTTCTTTTTTTCGTTTTTTCATATTTTTCGTCTTCCTTCTTTTCTTGTTCTTATTTTTTCTTCGTCTTTTCTTCTTCTTCTTCTCAAGGAATACCTGTCTATCTATAAACTTTTTTTTCTTCTGTTTTCATGTTCTTTTCTGATCCTATCCTTCATTTTTTCTTCCTTGCTTCTTATTCTTTTCAAGGAAGTTCTCTTTATCTATATTTTTTTCTCTTTTTCCCCCCTTTTCTAACTCTTCTTTTCTTATCATTTATTTTTCTTCCTTTGACTTCTTTCTTTTTTCTTCTTATTATTATTGTATTTTTTTTTCTTCCATTTATTTATTTCTTCTCGTTGTTACTGTGGGCTTTTGATCTCTCATTTTTTGTTAATCACTTTGTAAGTACCTTATAATCTATCAATATTCCTTTGGAAGGGAGGAAGAGAGAGGGATGGGGGAAAGAAGGAGAAGGGAGGGAGGAGAGATGGAAGGGAAGAGGATGGGAGAGGGAAGGGGAGAGGTGAGGGAGAGGAAGGATAAGAGGAGGAGGAGGGAAGGAAAGATGGAGGAGAGAAGGAAAAGGAGGAGGGAGAAGGAGGGGAAGGAAAGAGGAGGGAGGAGGGAAGAAGAGGAAGGAGGGAGCGGAGGAAGGAGGAGGAAGGAAAGAGAGGAGAGGAGGGAAGGAAAAGAGGAAGAGGAGCGGAGGGGGAAGGAAAGAGAGAGGGAGGAGGGAGAGACGGGAAGGAAAGAGGAGGGAGGAAAGCGGAGGAGAGGAAGAAAAGGCAGACGGAGGGGAAGAGGAGGGAAGGAGGGGCGAGGAAGGAAGAGAGGAGGAGGAAGAGCGCAGGAAAAGGAGGGAGGGAGGGAGGAGGGAGAGCGGGAAAGGTAAAGGAAGGAAAGAAGGAGGGATGAGGAGGGAAGGAGGAGGAAGGAAAAGAGGGAGGAAGGAAGGGAGAGGAAGGAAAGAGGAAGGAGGAGGGAGGAGGAAGGAAAAGAGAGGGAGGAGGGTGGAGGGAAAGAGGAAGAGAGAGAAAGGAAGAAAGAAGATCATATACTATATCTTTATTCTCACTGGAAAGGTAACCTTGGTTTTTGTTCTCACTACGTCATTTCAAGCAATGCAATAACATTTATTTTTCTCTTATGTTCTTCCTTCTCCCATCTCTTTTATTATGATTTACGTCTTAATCTCCTTTCCTTCTTTCCTATTAACTAAACATTTAATCTCGATTATTTTTTCCAAGATGATGGAAAATACCACATCCTTTTATCATTCAAAAGGATTTTCTACAAATCACACATAGTTCCATTTACATCACCGTGATTATATATGTATTCGTAAACACAGAAATGACAACAGATAGTATTCTTTCACAATGCATTTCCAACGAAGGACTGAACCAAAAAAGTTTGTTTGATTACATTCTTTTTATTCCTCTAATGACACTGAGTAAGCTTTACTTTATAGCTGTCTAACGTGAAGTAGGATAACTTGCTTCGTATTTCCTAAGTAAAAAAAATAACTAGTATATGTCAGAAGTGTAAGTTATCATTTCCCTTTTTACTTTACTCTTGCATGTTCCGAGAGAGGCGCAAATGTCACTGAAGTAGAAGGAAAATTCTCTCTCTCGACATGTTCACTTGCAAAGAAAACATTTTAACTAACTTGCAGAAACCAGAAACGCCTTTTTTTAAACCTTTCGTTTTTCCTTAAAGTTATTATGTAATGGAATTATAATCTCTCATTTCTCAGAATCTTAGGAATCAAAAACAGAAAAAGAAAAGAGAAACAAACATACATATTCGTTTACATCCATTTGGAAACTCGAGCGTCACTTGGCCTTTACCTCTTCCTTCCATATCTATTGTAGTTTAGCCATCTTGGTTTGTCTGATTCGCTTTCGTTATTCCTCAATATGTCTCTGAGGAAGATTTAATCTAATATTTTGGGGGACGGAGATTTCATTTTAATACTTTGGGGGAATAAGAGAGTTACTTTTGCTTCTCGAGGGATACCAAGGCATAGTCTGAAGTAAGGGTTAAAATGCAATGAATTGTAGTGAGAGAGAAGACAGGAAGGAGGGTCAAAAGGAGATGCAGAGAGAGAAGATGAGAGAAGGAAGAGGAGAAAGAGAGAGGAGAGAGAGAGAGAGAGAGAGAGAGAGAAGAGAGAGAGACGAGAGAGAGACAGAGAGAAGACGAGATGAAGAGAAGGCGGGGAGAGAGAGAGAGAGAGAGACAGAGAGAGAGAGAGAGAGAGAGAGAGAGAGAGAGAGAGAGAGAGAGAGAGAGAGAGAGAGAGAGAGAGAGAGAGAGAGAGAGAGAAGAGAAGAAGAGAGAGAAGAGGAGAGAGAGAAGAGAGCGAGAGCGAGAGAGAGAAGAGAGGAACAGAAGCGAAGAAGAGGAGAACGAGAAGAGAGAAAGAGAAAGGGAAAAAAAATCTCAGCAAACTTAACAAACCTGTAGTAAACCAAGTCAGAGAAGTCTTTTCATCCCAGGCAAATGCTAACGACACCCGACCATTACTCTCCTTCGTCGGGAACTACTTTTGAACCCAAGGAAAACCCCCCCCCAAAAAAAAAAAAAAAAAAAAAACTTTGCTGTCCAGAAAAGAGGTTTTCCCTCGTTAGGTAATGGGGAGACTATTTCAATCGCTGTCGGCTTTTTCACTTTCAAAGTCATTTTGCAATGAGGCTTTCTGAGAGTTTTCGGGAAAAAATATTAACGATGTGTATGCAATACATGTGGTATATAAATATATATATATATATATATATATATATATATATATATATATAATATATACACATATATACATATATAGACGACAAATTGTCTCCTTTGCTTTCAGAAAGAGAAAAATCAACCAAAACCACACTGTAATTAAGTTAAACTGCCACTTACACATGACTGATTTCCTTTAGTAAATCTACACACAGAGCTATGTATATAATCACAGGCATGTTCCTCTAGACATTTACCAAGTGACGAGAAATTAAAAGCATTGAGCTTACATGAAACTGCGGCAAAGCAATCTGCTGCAAAGGCTGTTGC